GCTTGGTAATGTTAGATGTAGCATGCTTCGCCCCCTTAGTGTCTACCTCCTGGTTCTAAGAGCATAAATATGTCCTCGAGTCCTTATGAGCTGCCCTTGCATCCTCTATACTCCAACTCGCACACTATCATGTACGCACTAGTTGTCACGGTAGTGCTAAATATCAACAAACCTGACGTAATTTTGTACCTTTTCACACCTTTAAAGAAAACTACCAATAGTACTCTTGAAGTCATTATGTCAAAAGGATTTGAGTAGGTTTTCCTTTTCATGATACACCATACCTTCATAGGACAACATGTGATGTTCCGATATTCAGAGTGGATTACATTGGTGACTTGCCAACTTAAATCTTATCTTTTTAATCTTGATGATTCCGCTTTGCAAAAAATTATTGATGGTTTGTCGCACTAGAATAGATGGATATAGGAGTGAAACAATAGATTGGAGTCATGGTAGAATGCCGAAAATTCACATCACCCTTCTAAGATATTGCTTTATATTCATATATTGTAAGAATGCGAAAATTCTAAGGGTTTAGTGTTTACGCTTATTAAGATACTTTGGTCTTGTTTTTTTGTTGTATCTACCAATACTTATTTAATCGTCAATACAACCAATGCAATCCCAACAAATCAAACAATTTTTAGACATACAAATGTTCATTTCCTCGTGAACAATCAATGGTGTAGACCTAACTAAGTTGGTTGTGTCCCTAGTATCAAACATTGTAGATGAACTAGTAATTTATCTTGTGCTTAAATATAGTACTAATTGTAGCCTATTCTTTTACTTACGGGAATCACAATAGGTCTTCGCTCAGCTGTAAAAATCTTGAAATTGCTATGAGTGGAATTTGTACTTCAACTGATCTACCCTCGTTTTTTTTACCCCGCAAAAAAAAATAGTAATATTGGAAAACCCTAGTGAATGAATCAAACTATTTGAACCATCAATTTGAAAGGCTCTTTATGTTTGTTCTACACAGGCGTGCATCTGGACCGTCCATCCAAGATCGAACGGCCGAACCCAGAGAAAAGCCCTCGGCGATAACGCCGTCGCGCAGCCGCACGAGGGGGGAGTGACGGCGAGATGCTTCGGGGCAGCCGACCGGCAGTGGCCACGGCGGCGGCGCTGCTCCTCTCGCCGGCGGCGGCGCCGGCGCCCCGCCTCCCGCGCCGATTCCTCTCCCTCACCGCCACCCCCTACCCGCTCTACTACGACCTCCTCGTCCACCGCCCCGTCAAACCCCCCAAATCCACCCCCTCCGACGCCACCGACGCCGCCGCCCCCCGCCCCCCGCCGCCCGACGCGGAGGGCGCCGACGAGCATCAGCAGCCCGCTCTCGACCGCGCGCAGCGCAAGTACCTACGGAAGCGCCGCAGCCGGCAGCTCCCGGACCCGGACGCCACCACGGGCACCAAGCCGACGACCACGTCGGAGATGGTGGAGCTGCGGCCGGAGGTGGTGGACTTCCCTCGCCTCCACGCGCGCGAGGAGGCGCTCTACTTCCACGACGCCTTCGCCATGCCCTGGGAGAAGGACAAGCACTACCGCATGCTCTACCGCCTCGAGAAGAAGTACTTCCCGGAGCAGTCCCTCGACAACGCCTTCGTCGCCGCCGACGCCGCCGCGCCGGCGCCCTCCGACGCCGCCGACAAGGGCCTCGTCTTCTTCGAGGAGGAGAAGGAGGAGGGCGGGGAGGTCGGGAAGAAGGAGGGGGCAGACAAGGGGGAGGTGCTGGAGAGGAAGGTGGAGGAGTTCTTCAGGGCCCTGAAGAAAGGGCCTGAGGAGGGGAAGGCCGACGACGCTTCGACGGTGGCGAAGAAGAAGGCGGTGTTGGGAGGGGCGCCGAGGCAGGTGAAGCGGGATGCGGAGAGGGAGGAAGAAGACTGGCCGCGGCCGCACCTCGCGAGCACGAGGACGGAGCTGCCGCCTAGGTGGGACGGCCCGACCGGGACCGTCGTGCTCATCGACAAGCCCAAAGGTGACATGTTCTCTTCCACATTGATGAATGATCTCAGTTTTTTGTGAATTCCATGGCAATGTATTGGTTGTGCAACGTGCCGATGGCATTGCTAAGTACTAATTAGCAGCCCACATATGAGATGCATACCACCAATCCACCTTTTATGTAGATGCAGTGTGTGTAGATGCTTACTTGCAGCCTTTATTTTAGAATTGGTGGCCATCTTGCAGAATGGGTGGATTAGATGGATGTGGTACATTTGAATTCAGATTTATATGTACAGTTGCAGGTTCACGAACTTTTCCATTACACGGTCCTGATATGGAGGTAGATTTAGATTTGGCATTTTGAATCCACCTTTGATGTAGATACAGTATGTGTAAATGCTTACTTGCAGCCTTTATTTTAGAATTGGTGGCCATCTTGCAGAATGGGTGGGTTAGATGGATGCTGTATATATACCATTGTAGGTTCACAAACTTTTCCGTAATATGGTCCTGATCTAGAGTCCATGCTTTATGTAGTTTAGATTTGGCATTTTGAATAACTGAATTGCTTATGTGAGTACATACATTACATGTCCTGTTACCGTAGCAGCACCTTTTATTTGGACAGTTTTCTGAAGTCATGTAATTAGTAAAAGAAATGGCATTGACAACGATGCTGAACTTGTCTTTCTACTAACTCAGAATGGAATTTGTCTTTTTACGGAATTCAGGGTGGACCTCATTTACTGTTTGTGGAAAACTACGGCGGTTGGTGAAAGTGCAAAAGGTGACTTCACAGTTTTCATGGTGTGTTGTTAATGTGGTTTTTGCTCCTCCACATGTTTATGGTAGCTTCGATTGCAGGTTGGCCATGCTGGTACTCTGGATCCTATGGCCACTGGATTGTTGATTGTTTGTGTGGGCAAAGCAACCAAAGTTGTTGATAGGTACTTTCTATTCTTCTCTTTTCGGGGGAAACCGTGAGGGTTACTGGAACAATCTTCCTTTCAATTATCACATTTCAATTTCAAGTTATTCTTGATTGTTATGACTTGGAATAATATCATCTGTATTCTGAAGAACTGGACTGATGACATCGTGTCCTCTCTCCTGCACTTAAAGCCTCATTTTGTGAACTCAAAGCCTATTTCCTGACTCAAATGTTTTCGTGATTTGAAGATATCAAGGCATGGTTAAAGGCTATAGTGGTGTTTTCCGGCTTGGAGAAGCAACATCAACCTGGGATGCAGATTCACCAGTATATATCTTAATATCTTTACAATGATCTACTGAGCATTCTTCTATTATAGGAACTATCAAATGGTTCTACTTTTAACTTATATGATATGAATCATATGAGGAAGTATAATGGAATACCAACTTATTAGATTCACAATTAGTTATGCTACCTATGGAATGTTCAATACACCAAACTGGAATGTAGATATGCTATCCTGGGAAAAAAAGAACACCTGATTGGTGATTACCTTGTTGACTGATATGACCAATGTCTCATTCTCAGTTAGTGTAGTTTAACTCTATACGAATTTGTATTATCCTCTGAATTGTGATGATTTTGGTCCTATCCTTTTGCTATATACAGTGTCACAGAAATCACAGTGTGTTTAAGACCAACACATACAAGGTTTGAGGTGCAACCACCCTTATAGGTCTACTCATAGAACTTGGTCGGTTGAGGCACCAAATCAACACGAATAATGCCATACAAAGTATACATGAACTTCTGAACTTACTCTACATGTATGTCTTGAAGTTCAAATTCATTTTCTGTTAGTAGGAATAATGTGAAAATTGTGACAGATGACCAATCAGAAGGAAAGGGGATACTGTTACTATTCACACTGAACTTATCTTTCGTTTGTTTCTTTTAACACATTTTGAGTTTGGTGCTGTTATTTTAAAGAGTGTTATAACACTTCATAGACTACATAATAAATTGCATTAATTTTCATGTTTATTTGGTGCTGAATAAAGCCAGGTTATGCTATTGGGCCCTGAAGATTTGCACCTGATGTGTTGCCATTAAGATCTTAAATTTTGATTTATTCGATCTCACCTTTTATTCGAGGACAATAAGTCACATCCAATTGTTCTTTGTCACTCAATCCTAGCTACTACTGAAAACTGTTAATGTTCACACCGGCTTGATTTGAATCACGTGCCATTTAGTTTATATTATGCCTAACCATCCCCATTTGTGGACAGGTTATTCAGAGGGAATCATGGGAACACATCAAAGATGAAGATATTAGAAAGGCAGCAGCATCATTCATGGGTGAAATATGGCAAGTTCCTCCGATGTTTTCTGCCATCAAGGTACACTATACCCTTCTATACTGAATCCATTGTTTACTCCTTGTAATTTATGTCATGCTGTTGCTAGTGCTCGACTTTGTAACTTCTTATTATGTATGGATGAGTGTCTTTGTAACCTGGATGGTCTGCACAACATGTGTCACGCCTCATTTGCATAACAGTCTACGCCGTTCGTGTTTATGGGGGAAAAAAGAGAAGGGCATTGAAAGATAAGATGCATTTTTTTCACCAGAGCGGCATAGCCGCCCTATCATACTGTAACTGCTGTAAACAATGACAAGGAGTTGTAATTGGGTATGGTTTTTGATCCTGGCTAGCCATTTGCACACTTGTGATTACATTATCTTGTCACAGAAATGTAGAATTACCAGTATATTATGTTCTCGGCCAAGCAAGAGGATGATAGATAATCCATTAATATTATATCGAATAATAGTAGGCTGTGATGTTGGGACAATAGAATTTTTAATTGTTATGTCTTCAGTGTGTTGGCACATGGTTTTTCCTGCCTATTACTGACCGCTTATCAACCAACCATGATGTAGTAGGTTTATAACTTGTGTTTTTGCAATTGATCATCGGCATCAGGTGGGTGGTGAAAAAATGTATGACAAGGCAAGGAGGGGCGAATCGATAGAGCTTTCACCAAGACGTATATCAATATACAAGTTTGATATCGAGCGCAGTTTAGAAGACAGGTATTCTTCCTTATTCCTCCCTTTTTCGACCTTCGCATTCCATGTGGACAATACAGATCCATACTTAAGCGTGTCATACTCTCATGCCATGTTTGAATCTCCTTGAAGATAAATTTTATTTGCAATCTACAGGCAAAATTTGATATTTCGAGTTACTTGCTCGAAAGGAACATACATTCGGTCCCTCTGCGCAGACTTGGGGAAAGCTCTTCGAAGGTCTGCTCTAACATTCTTGTAGTAGAGCTTTGTTTTGTTTGCATACATTCCTCTATGTGCCACATGATTTAACTGAATAAAATGCCATAATTACCTAAATAGTTATTTCTTTGGTTCTCAAAAAGAAGATTGTGTTGTAAGTGCGTGCAGATATCATGTTACCTTTTATCATCTTATTAGTTCAGCAAACTGCTTTCTCCCCCAATGAATGTTAGCATGTTCAACAAGTATTTGCATGTATTGAACTGGGGGATCTGTTTTTTGAATTTAACTATTGCACTATAGGTTACTATCTTCTGGTACTGATTCTGTTGAATGTAGTATCACAAAAGTGTCGTACATTTTATTTTTTCTGGAAGCATTTAATGGTTCACTTTTATCTTTTCATATGTGGTCTGAGAAGAATCCTGTTGTTCTACTTGTCATGAGTTACTACCCTTGGATATCTCCACCTCTTTTATGCTGATGCATTGTGATGACTAAATCTAATGTGTACGCATTTTCCTGCAGCTGTGCTCATTTAACTGCCCTTCGGAGGGACTCAATTGGTATGTTTTATATGAGCATTATATACATCCTGTGTTTTTTTACTACTCTATATATATGAGCATTATATACATCCTGTTTTTTTACTACTCTATATATATGAGCATTATATACATATGTGTTTTCAGGCACATAAGTCTCTTTGGCTTGGAAAATGCAAGTACTTTTATGCCATTGATTTTTATGTCTGCTTCACAGGTGACTATTCGGTCAATGACGCTTGGAACTTTGACGAACTGCAAGAACAAATCACCAAGGGATACCTATGAGAATTGGCCATGCCCTTTGGAAGATTGCGATCGAGAGCAGCTACTTCCAGCAAGGTCGTGGTGCAACCCGCTGATACAGTGGTATGGTTTGCTAGAATCAGGAATTCATTTGTTTTACCCTGAACGATGTATGACTGTCGCAGTTCTGTCATTTGCAAAACTATAATGAATGGACAGCCCTATGTTTTGCAAAATTGTAACGGATCCACTCGTGATGTAGCTCCTGTGCCGCAAATTTTGGTGTCCAATACATTATTTTTGATCAAATATGGTGTCGTTTCTTCTTTGTTGAGAAAGTTTATGTTCTTGCATTATGTGTACTTCCAATGCAAAAGGGTGAGTGTCTGTCAATCATGTGAAGAAGAGTCCAACTGGTTTCTCCTGGGAAGAGACATGAAGGTAACCAAAGCTTAGCTTAAAGGGATCAAGATTGGTCAATTCAGGTAATAATCCAAGGTTGCAGGTGTACATGTGCCAAGGGGTCAATCTCAACAAAAACGGCACACATCCAAGAGATCCTGAACAGCCCTAGCTAGTCAAGTGCTGAAACCAACCCTGCTGGAGAATCATCAGTCCCAAGCGACCGTCGTCATCAGCATCTGCTTCACAAACTCGACCCTCCGCAGCCGCTCCTCGAGGTCCTCCTTCGACGCGTCGTCCATCACAACCTGATTCAGCCTGCAAGGATGAAGAAAGCAGAGCATTTGGAGCTGTCAGTCAGCCACCATTGTTCAGGTTCAGGACCATCTTCCACTCCCAACCTTCAACAGTATCTGCACTAACCATACCTCTGATCATCTGAGGAAGGTGCAGCATGATCCTCCTCCTCGGCCTTGATGGGCTCCGGATCGACGACCGGGGGCGGCGCGAAGGCGCAGATGAACTGGGAGAGCAGAGGGTCGGGAGAATGGTCATCGGGAACCGGCCGGCCCATGATGTATGAGGATTCCTCAAAGTAGGAGTCCTCATCTTCATATGCCTCCTTGTCATCAGCTGCTGCTCCTGCCCTGGAAGAAGAGGACTTCCTCATCTGTGATCAAAATGGCATTGCCAGTGAGCTGCAATGTGGTTTGCAAGATGCAATGCCTGTCCATGACACTAGTGCCAGTGATGGTGAAGTTTTATTGTACCTTGAGTTGTTGTGAGTGTTGCTCCCTGAAATGCCCCGCCGTGTCGGCCCCGAGGTTCTCGGCGCAGATCGGGCACACCTGAAAGAAGAAGAAGAAGAAGCCACTGAATCACCAAAGAGGAATTTGTACCTCAAGGGAAGCCACTGAATCACCGGAGAGGGAAATGCAGGATGGTTTTCTTTTGTTCTTACAGCGTTCTTCATGTCGAAGCAGTGCTCCTCCTGCAGGTGGGCGCAGAGGAAGGGGACCTCCACCTCGACGTAGCAGAAGGGGCAGGGGAAGTACTCCCACCACTCATCTCCTCCTCCTGCAATTTTTTGTTCGTTTTGTTACACAGTGGTAAAAGACATGGGATAATCAGTGCCTCTGAGAAGAGGGAAAATCAGCAGTAAGTTCACAGCTGCATTCATGAAATTTTCTCTGAACTTTCAGGGCATTTTTGTGATGTGAAAGGAGAGAAATGGGAGTCACAAAAGCTGTGAGCCAACTGGACAGACACAATATTCAGATAAGACCCCCCATTTTCCCACACAAATCTCTCTCTCTCTCTCTC